GGCACCCCTCAGGTCCTCTTTCTATCTGCTAAGTTGCAGCGAGGAAGATCTTTCAACCAAGATGTCTTTTCCCTACCAAAACCTTAACAATAAAAGTCACTTTCACCAAAACCAGCTACATTGATCTCTGAGTCCCATCTAGAAAAAGCCTACTGTATTCTCAGAGGGAGCGCACTTTCTGGGTAGTCATGGACACAAAAGGGAAAGAGCATTGGGCTAGGAGCCAGGAGACCTGAGCTCTGAATACACCCCTTCTGCTAATTAGCTATGTCACCTGGATTGGGCAAGTGACTTCTTTGGCTTCTTGTGAAAAGGAGTTGGAATAAAAATTACAAAAGTCTCTTCCAAATATGAAAATAATAAGCCTTAATGACATACTTAATGCTTATTTTAACTACCATGTTATTTATAACTGTTATAGAATGTTATATCCTTAATGGGTCTCAAGTATACTTCATAATACATGGTTATTTTGTGAGCAAGCTGAGGTATAAAATGCAGGTTATTTCATAAAAATTTCAGGTGTGATATTACTAAAACTATTAAATCAGCTTACTGTAGCTTTCCTTTTGTGGCTTCTTATCGGTCATGTGTATGTGTTGTAACCCAGCTTTCACAGGGAGATAGGTTTTAGTTTGTAACAGTCTGTTGTACTTTAGTTTATTAACACGATTTCTAAAGTATAAATGTAGGTCATGTTAAGGACAGAGTAGTGGTTAAATGCAGTCTCTGGAGTCAGACTCCCTAGGTAGAAATCCCAGCTCTGCCAGTGTCCTCCATACTGTTTTCATGAAGTTATTCATTTTTTTTTAAGTTTACTTATTTTAAGCGGGAGGGGCAGAGAGAGAGAGAGACAGAGAATCCATAGCAGGTTCTACATTATCAGTACAGAGCCTATTGTAGGGCTCAGACCCATGAATCACGAGATGATGACCTGAGCCAAAATCAAAACTTGGATGCTTCAACCGACTGGGCCACCCAGGCACCCCACCAAGTTATTCTCAACTTCTGGGTTTCATCAGTTGTAAAGTGAGGGATAAAAAACGGTACTTTTACCTTATTTGGTTGTTGTGAGAATCGCATGAGATAATGTATATAGTGTCAATTTAATAAATAAAAGCTATTTTAGGGTTGTCATTTATATTTATTAAGAGAAAGATCTTCCTTCTGCCCTCTTTCCCACCAAGTCCACTCCTTACAGGGAGTAAGTCCTAATGGCTTTTTTGTGTTGGCTTTCAGCATGATGATCTGATTCAAAATATTGTTTGCAGAAATGGATGCTGGTTTAAATAGATTCTGAAGCAGAAATACGGATTTGAACAAGAAAGGGATATATGTGCTGAGAGCAGTACTTCTATATTGGAAATGTTATTCTTCTAAGGCCAGCAAAATTGATGGATACCTTCACCAAACATCTTTCCCAAGTTCAAAGCATGAGCAAGTTCTCCTGGTTGTTAAAGTGCATATTGGGATGACTGGCTGGCTCAGTCAGAAGAGCATGTGACTCTTGGTCTTGGGGTCATGAGTTTGAGCCCCACGTTGGATGCAGAGTTTATTGGGAAAAAAATAACCTTAAAAAATAAAGTGCATATAAAGAGTTTAATAAATGGGAATAAAAGCACCCACACAGTGACCATTGAGAGTCTAGAATTTTAAGAAAGCTGTTGCCTACTTGAAATAAATAATTTGGGCAGCATTTTAAGTATATAGTTTATTGTGGTAATCCCTGAGGGCTTGACTCTGGGAAGCATCATAGATGGATTTGAGATTTCAGCTAAATAATATATAATTTATTCCATACTTCTAATTTAATTTGAAAAGAGAAGCAACAAGATTGAACTAGGCTTGGAGCTTCAGTCAGGATGGCCTGAGTTGGTAGAACTGCGTGGAGATGCTTAAAAGCCTTATTAAAAATGTTTAGATCCACCATGAAGCTCTACGACACCCAAGTTTACCAAGAGATTTGGGTAGGATAAGGTCGATGGGCTTCATGATTTATAAAATAAGGGATTACTGACCAAAAAAAAGCTTTGAAAGCTTGAGTCCTACAACTGCTCACACTCATCTTAAATCAACTTTACTTGGAGGACACATCAGATGGAATGTCAGCCTGACTGTAAATTTCAGGCAGCTCTGTTGGAAGGGAACATGGAACATCACTGTACACTTGTAGAAGGGTTGTTTCCTTTGTGGCATTAATCAATGTACCTGTGAGATACACTTTAAAAAGAAAAGATTGAAGTAGTCTTTTAGACTAAAAGTTTTTAGTTTATTTTGTTTTTTCTTTTTCTTAGTATTAGTATGTGCATGTTATTTGTAAATTAGGAGGTTACAAGAACAGAAAATAGCTGGAAATAGGTAGTGGTTGCCCCTAGGAGAGATAGGTAACATGTTTTTTTAAATTATTATTATAAAATGTGTAAAAGGATTAGACTTATAAGATGACATATTTGTTTTTAATGTTTATTTATTTTTGAGACAGAGACAGAGTGTGAGTGGGGGAGGGGCAGAGAGCGAGGGAGACACAGAATCCGAAGCAGGCTTCAGGCTCTGAGCTGTCAGCACAGAGCCTGACGCAGGGCTCGAACCCACAAACCATGAGATCGTGACTTGAGACGAAGTCAGATACTTAACTGACTGAGCCACCAGGTGCCCCTAAGGTGACATATTTGTATTACTTTGATTTAAGTCAATATATATTAATTCTATTTATTTTTACAATTTTTAAAAATTTTATTTTTGAGGGACAGAGTGTGAGCAGGGGAAGGTCAGAGAAAGAAGGAGACACAGAATCCAAAACAGGTTCCAGGCTCTGAGCTAGCAGAGCCCGATGTGGGGCTCAAACCCATGAATCATGAGATCATGACCTGAGCCAAAGTTGGACGCTCAACTGACTGAACCACTCAGGCGCCCCAATATATATTAATTTTAAAAACACATGAGTTTTAGGAAAATATTTTTTAGTAGTCTCTACACTCAACGTGGGGCCCAAACCCACGACCCGGGGGTAAAGAGTTGCTGGCTTCGCTGACTGAGCCACACAAGTGCCCCCAGAAGATCAATTCATTGATAATTTTCAGAAGGGATGGAGGCAGTGGCTTCAAACCCCTGGTATATGATTTTTTCCAATGGGAGATTCAATGAGACAAAAAAAGACCACATGGAGGGGTGCCTTGGCTGGATCAGTCAATGGAGTGTGCCACTCTTGATCTCAGGGTTTTAAGTTCAAGCCCCACATTGGGTGTGTTTTATTACTAAAAAATAAAATCTTAAACACCCACTCCTGTCAACCCACCTTGACTTAAAAGATAAGGTCTTCTGCTATGCTTCCCTCTCTAACTGGATTTGGGAGAGGCAGGGATGTACTTCTGGGCAAAGGGCATGAGGCCAGGAGTAGGGAGGAATTCTCTAGGTGGCATAATTTCCTTGTATCCCAAGTTAAATAGATCTGTGGTTCCCAAGGAGAAGGTTTATCTTGTCCGGATTCATGGAATATTTCCCTATATGTAGTTTCTCTGTGTATTTCCCTATGGCATGGCAGTCAGTAAAGTCTTGTTTAAATGTTTGAGCCTGCCTTCAAGGCTAGGGTCAGAGGGTTAAGGCCTTTGTGGTTGTCTGAAGACACCCACTCCCCACCTGGACATTGCTTTTGAGTAGTAAACTTCCTGGTTCTCAGGTTTGTTTTCTTTTTTTTTTTTTATGTTATTATTTTTTTAATGTTTATTTTTGAGAAAGAGAGACAGAGAACGTGCAGGGGAGGTGCAGAGAGAGAGGGAGACACAGAATCCGAAGTAGGTTCCAGGCTCTGAGCTGTCAGCAGAGAGCCTGATGCAGGGCTAAACCCACAAACCTGAAGATTGTGACCTGAGCCACCCAGGTGCCCATAAGGAAGACACTTCTTCATACATTTCCTCTAAACTATGAAGCGTATATTGTCATCATCCCTATTTTTACAGGCGAAAAATTGAATCCTTGTGAAGCTAAGGAACACACTCAAGGCCATGAGGTAGCAAATGGCAGGGCCAATTAATAAACCCATACTTTTTCCATACAGAACATCTATAATAGTTGCTATAATAAAGGTTCAAACTAGCAATTTGTTTAAATATGTGATGCACAGAGTAATTCACAGAAAATTATAATGTATCTAGTTTTCTGTACCATCACTTCCCCTTACCACTCTACTTCAGAGAGATTGTATTTGTCTGTGGAATATAAAAATGTGATATCTTTTACAACTGTCTCTAAAACACATAACTAAGATGGGGCGCCTGGGTGGCTTAGTCGGTTAAGCGTCCGACTTTCGCTTGGGTCATGATCTCGTGGTTCGTGGGTTCGAGCCCCGCGTAGGGCTCTGTGCTGACTGCCAGCTCAGAGCCTGGAGCCTGTTTCAGTCTGTGACTCCCTCTCTCTCTGACCCTCCCCTGCTCACGCTGTCTCTCTCTCTCACCTAGAAATAAATAAAACATTAAAAAAAAATTTTTTTAAAACACATAACTAAGAAATATCAATGGCTTTTGGTAGCCTCAGAACATAGGCTTTCTCTTTGATTTGCTTTTTAAAAAATTGAGATATAGGGGCTCTTGGGTAGTGGAGTCAGTTAAGCGCCTGACTCTTGGTTTTGTCTCAGGTCATGATCTCAGGGTCAAGATCTCAGATTCAGTTGGATCACTGAGTATGGAGCCTGCTTGAGATTCTCTCTCCCATTCTCAAAAAAAAAATTTTTTTAAACTAAGATATAATTCACATGCCATAATATTCACTCTTTTCAAGTGTACAATCCAGTAGGTTTTAGTATATTCACGTTTGTGCAACCATCACCACTATCTGATTCAAGAACATTTGATTCACTTTTTTTTTTACCATTACAAAAGTTTATTTTATAAAAACGTTGAATATGAAAATGCACATCACCTGATTTTTATATTGCAGGAAAACAGGTGTGATGGAGAGGGGACATGTAGAAGCAGTTAATTTCTTCCAGTGAACACACCCATTGTTTATACTTGTTCCAAGGCTTCTAACATGACACTATTTCCTCGTATTACCACCATTCCAATATTGTTCTGTTGCCCACTTGTTGCCATCTTCACACACTCCTCTATCACAAGATTCATAAAGGGATTGAACCCCTGCAATATACCTTGGACATGTCTGCCAGTATTTAATTTCTTTTTTTTTTTTTTAAAGTAGGCTCCACACCTAGTGTGGAACCCAATGTGGGGCTCAAACTCACAACCCTGAGATCAAGATCTGAGCAGAGATCAAGAGTCAGATGCTTAACAGACTGAGCCACATAGGTGCCCCTGTGACTATTTAGTTTCAATGATAATTTCTTGTCATTAATTTTTCAGTTCAGGAGGGTGAGCTTTATTGAAGCTACCTTTGTGGAGAGCTCAACCATCCATACTTTGATTCACTTTTGAAGGCTCTTTTCTAACACCTACAAGAGAACAACTAGGTATGTGCAACTGAGAATTCCAAGAAAAACCTTGAGGTATCAAACAAAACTGGAGCCAGCAAATGTAGTGCTGCTACCACAGTCTTTAAAAGGGAACTGTGTGACAAGTTGTAAGAATATAACATATAGATACCACTGTGTCAATGGTCAGGCCATGGGAGACACATTTGAATTTTGTCCAGTTCAAGAGCTGCTCTCTAAAACTGATAAAAGGAAAAGGGTCCCAGGAATATAATGAAGATAATTAAAAGAAGATTGTGAACTAAGATTCACAATGAAAGCTTTAAAGAGCTTGCAGTAACTTAGTCTAGGAAAGTTATTTAAGAACCTTGGGGCACCTGAGTGGTTCAGTGTGGTAAGCATCCAACTTCAGCTTAGGTCATGATCTCACAGTTCATCGAGCCCCACATGGGCTCTGTGCTGACAGCTCAGAGCCGGGAGCCTGCTTCAGATTCTGTGTCTCTCTGCCCTTTCCTCATTTGCTCTCTGTCTCTCAAGAGTAAATGTTAAAAAAAATTTTTTTAAAGAACAACCTTTAAAGAATATGAGGATTGTTATACCAAAAATGTGATGACCTTTTATTTCGTTCTTCTTTCACTAAGGAAAAGACAAAGAAAATGGATTCATTCTTCAGGAAGGATTAAGTTAGCACAGAAAGTCATCAGAGCCTTATTAAACACCAAATGGTAACTGCAGCAAGAAGCCCTCTGAAATTTTTTTAAAAGTTGCAAAGGAGAGTATAAAAAATTCCTTCACTCAGATTCACCAGTGTTATCATTTTACCACATTTGCTTTATCATTTTCTCTCTCCTGTATATATATAAATGTGTGTGTATATATCTATATATTATTTACATAATTCCCCTTTGTCCCTTAAACACGGCATATTTCCTAACACAAAGCACATTCTCTTGCCAAGCCACAGTAATAAAAAAATCAGGAATTTAACACTGATACAATACTATTATTTAATCTACAGACCTTATTCAATTTTTTCCAATTGTCTTAATAAGGTCTATTTAAAAAAAAGTTTTCAGGTCCAGGGTCCATGCTGCATATAGCTAGCAGTTCTATTTTAATCTGGAACAGTTCTTCAGTCTTTGTACTTCATACTCTTAATACAGGCAAGTTATTGTGTAGCCTGTCCTGCAATTGGGTCTCTGCTGCTTTAAAAAAAAAAAACAAACAGATTCTCATTTCTTTTGGGAGTTTTAGGTATGGTCTTGAGTGAAGACCATAAGTAAACTTTTCTCTTCAAGATTCCGTCCAGCCACCTCCTACTGTTTATTCTTACTATATCAGAATTTTCCTAGATGTGGGATAGTCAATAAAACATTTTTGTACTCAGAACTGCAATGTATTACATAGATTTTTCCACCTCAGCATTCCTGTATTTTATGTTTAATGTGTTTAATGAAGTTAGGTTTGTCGAAGAATTAGCACCTACTCTTGTTAATCGCTTGAGACTTAAATTACCTGTAGGCTTCCTATTTTCAGAATTTCACCTTCACAGTGATGAACTATGCTTTCGCTAGGAAACAAGAGCTGCAAAAATGGATGGGTGTCACTCATTAAAGTCTTTCAACAAATATTTGTTGAGCGCCTCGTATATGTCCAGCTCTGTTCCAACCGTGGGCACACATTAGAGAACAAAACAAAATCCCTGCTCTTGTAACCTAGTTGTACAAATTTAAATTTAAATTAAAAAAATCAGAACCCAGGGATCCGACTTCCTTAAACAGGAAGAAGCCAGGTCTCTGAAAAGGGGCAGCTCGGTGATTCAAATCTAATATGGATAATGCCGCGGAGTCCCTGACAAACATGCGGATAATGAAAGTTCCCGGTTTATCCAAACGCAATATACAAATGATTAATCCGAAGACCGGAGGCCGCAGAGGACAGGCGGAGCAGGACTTCCAGAGCTGTTCTGCAACCACTTTCTCAGCCACAGTCCGCCTTCCGGCCTCGGGCCTCCGGGCGGTCGCCGCTGGCACTCGGGTCCGCCCCGCGGGGGCCACACACCCAGCCCCGCGTCCCCGCCAGGCGGCACCTCCCGGCCCAGGTAAGGCCGAGCACCTGGGAACCGCGCACCGAGAACGCCCCGCGGGGAGGTGGCTCAGGGGAACCGGCTCCTCCGGGCGGCCTCGCCCACTGCAATGCAATCTGGGTGGTTTTTCCAGGTCCCTCCCTGCCTCGTTCCGCGCCCAGTCCCTGCCCCCGCGGCGCCTGCGGGCCGGGGAGCGTGGCTTGGGGACCCGGGGTGAGGGGCGAGCCCGCGGAGGACCGCGGGGCCCCTTTCCCAGCACGCACTCCGCAGTCCAGGAACGGAAAGCACGCTCCCTGGAACTGGCGCTGCGGACGAAGACGGTACCGAGCACCCTCGTGGGCCGGCGGAGCGCTGCCTCGCCGCAGCCGAGCCCGGCCTCCGCCCGCTCTCTGGGGACGCGAGCTGCGACCTGCGCCGCCGGCGGCCGCGCCTCCGCCCGCACTAGTCGCGCCGGGAAAGCGCAGCGGCGCGGCCCCGGGCTGCTCAAACGCCCTCCTCCCGGCCCCCGGGAAGCTCAGCCGCTCCGCACGGTGCCCGCGCTTCCTAGCGGTGGGGAACGCGCGCTCTCCCGCCTCCCCACACTCGCATCCGGACAGGTTCTTCGATCTGTACCCGGAGTGGGTTCCGGCAGTGAGTGTATGCTTGCCTGATTTCACACCATGAATAGAATAGGGCTGGATACCTCGGGCCCAACTAAGTAATACTTTCGACCGATCTCGGTTTCTCCAAGAATAGAGAAGTTTGAAATCTAAAACTCGACGAAGCGTCACCTCTGGTGCTTTTCTCTCCCACGTCAACAGGTCGCATCACATTGCCTTCTGATTTGGTGGCTGGGTGGTGATAGTGGGCGCATAAGCCTCTGTGCAGACCTAGCTTAGCTAGGGAAGGGAGACTGCTTGCAAAGTTGGCCAAATCGACACATGTACATAAGTACAAGGCAAAGGTATGAGGGGGAATGTGGGGGGTCAGAGCTGGGAACTGAGGGAAACATTTGCTTTGGCCTGATTTAGGAAAACATTATTAGTGTATATGTTTTATTTAGGGCCCAGGGCAAAGCAAAGTTTGTGGGCCCTGCCATGGAGAAGGTTCTATTCTCCAACTAGCAGCCAGAACCAAACAAGACGTGGGCAATGAGAAGTGGAAGACAGACAAGGAAGTGGGGTCCATTGTGCCTAAATTTCCTCGCGGGGACTCCCTGCTCCGCAGCGCGCAGCGCCTGCGCCTTTGGGCGACACTTGGTGGCTGGGCGTGCAGTCCCCGGCGCCTGGCTGTGTCTCCAGAAGGTGGGTGGCGTCCAGGGGTTTGGAGGAGCTCGTGCCTGGGCTCCGGCCGGGAGAGCGGGAGGGCCCACAGGGTTTCACCTACTGTTTGCACTTAAAGGTGTGCTGGGCTCAGGAGCGGTTTTCCCGGTGCTGGGCAATTGCTCCCGCCGCCTCCTGGCTGCCGTTGGCCAGCACCTCCCTCCGCTGTTCGCCTTCTCCGGGCACCGCGCCCTGAGCAGGTCCGCACCCCAGGCTTCACCTCTGGCCTCCTTTCTCCTCCCGGCGCCTGGCCTTTTCCCTTGACCCTTTAGAACCTCCGGCTTTGTTCCCCACAGTCGACATTTCCCCGTGCTCCCCATCCCTCTCGATTACCTCCAAAGAAGGGGTGACCCCCGACAAGCGGCTGCGGCCCTCCCCTCCACGCCCTTCACCCCTCACCCTTTTCCCGTCTGGCCTCGGCTACCCTTTGGGTGGCAACCGCCTCTTCCCCGCCCCTCCCGTCTCCCCCTCCTTCTTTCTCGCCCTCCCGTCTCCATTCATCCAGCCATTGTCTCCCGCCCCCTCCTCCCCTTTCCCCAGGCGGCCTCCACCCCCACCGCTGCCACGTCGTGGTTTGAAGGAGCCAATGGGCCGGCGCCGCCAGGTGTCTCTTACCTGCACCACGTGGGGGAGGGGGAAGGGGCGGGCAGGTAGAGCCACATCCCAAAACAGAAAAGCTTTCAGCCATTGCGCGCTCCACCCGTGGTGCAGCCCTGCTTCTGGCTTTTTGCATAGACGCACGGGCAATTGAATACAAAAAGGGCAGGCCTCCTGCGCCCTCCTTCCCACCCCCCTTCCTGCCCGGGGTGTGGAGCACCGGCCAGGTGTGGGCTGGGGTGGTTGGTTACCGCCTTTTGCACCAGCGGCGGCGAGAAGGGGGGGCGGGCGCTCTTTCTTTTTCTCTTAGAAGAGGGTTTAGCACAGGTTTTCTCGTTCTCACTTCCACCCCGCCTCACCGCCTCCCGACCCCCCTCTCCCCCTCCCCACCTATCGTCATGACGGCGTCTCCGGATTACTTGGTGGTGCTTTTTGGGATCACTGCCGGGGCCACCGGGGCCAAGCTGGGCTCGGATGAGAAGGAGCTGATCCTGCTGTTATGGAAAGTCGTGGATCTGGCCAACAAGAAGGTATTTCTCCAGGTTTCTGTCCAATTGCTAGGAGCGGGGCAAGACGTTTGTTGTAGAAGTTTGGAGAGTCGGTAAACAAGTGCTCTTGTTCAGCCACTTACGAGGCTGGACCCGAGGCCTACAGAAGCCAGAGTAAAACCAAACTTGTTGGCCAACCGCCTTGGAACCGTTTCAGTAATTTGAAATCGGGCTCAGGTGGGGAGGCCGGGCACAGCCGAACCAGGTTCTCTGCCCGTCGGGGGACGCCCGGCCGAGCCGGGGTGAGATCCTTGGGGCCCGGATTCCCACCTCTGGGCCTTTCCGACCTGATCCGGGTGGGGGTGGGGCCGGAGGCAGGGCCGTGCCGACCTCTGTGCCACCAGAGCCGCTCGCGACCAGTGAGCTTGGATTCCGTGCGGCCAGACCCCTCCAGCCGCACCGGCCGCCCCGGCAGGGGAGCGAGGAAGGAGGCTCAACATGGAGGCTTCCAAACTGAGGAAGGGGGAAACTGACCCCAGTTTCTTTCCGCCCTGGAGGTGGGACAGTTGCATGAAGTGCTAGTGAGACCCGATCAGTCGGAGCTGACCGAGGATTGTAAAGAAGAAACGAAGATCGACGCGGAAAGCCTGTCCTCCGCCCCGCAGCTGGACCAAGCCCTCCGACAGGTGACAGCCTCGGGCCGCGCCGCCCCGGCGTCCCGCACAGGGCAGCGCAGCCGCCCCGGGTCCCACGCCCTCGCCGGCCGGGGCGCGCACACCCCCGGGCGGCGCGGCAGGGCGCCCAGCCGCGTGGGTGCAAGCCCGGCCTTGGAGGCCGGGCTGGACCTCTCGGGGGGAGGTCGCTGCTCCTCCGAACCTCCCAGCCCCTCGGGTCGGGGGCCCCAAACTCGCTAGTTTTCGAGTCTTTCCTGGGGCCTCCGGATCAGTCGGGCGGAATGAGGATCGGAGTTGGAATCCCAGCGCCCCCATCCCGAGGCCCAGACCCGGGACGCGCCTGTCCTCTGCGGGGCTTTGGGTGTGTGGCTCAACCCTGGAACAGAGGGCGCTGTGGTGTAGACGGGCGGGTGGGCCCCGCGACGCGCGCTAGCGGCGGCCCGGGTTCGGTGGGGAGCGGGGGGTGCCTGCTTGGTTTCAGGCTTCCGAACTCCTACAGGCTCGGTTTTGGTTCCCCCGTGTTACTTCCTTGGTGCCCTTGGACCCAGCGCGGAAGAGGGCTTGCCGACCCGAGCCTGTAGGGGGCTGACCGTTGGGTCACTGCGAAATGGGTGAAACCCCCTTAACAGAATTGAGGTGACCTAAAAACCTGCTGCTGCGTGGTTCTGACAGGCACTGACTGGATCAGGGATGGGGCGGGGCGCTGAACACCTGTGCACAGGTGCGCGTCCCGTGCCCTCGGCCGGTGCGCCGGGACGCGAGTTGTGAATTAATGGGGGAAAGTTATCATTTGGGATTGTGTTCCAGAACAAGTGCTGCCAGACTTCCCAGAGGTCCGCGCACCCGTTAACCACATGAGTTTATCAGAAACGGGCCTCTTTCTTAATCTTGAAACAACCAAACACAAAGTAACACCGCGGAATGATGTAATCCGAAGGCAACCTGCTGATGAAACGAGACCCGACTTAAAAGTCTTGAATGTGGATTTAGCGCAAAAATAGAAAGGGCACGGAAGGAAGGACGTGTAGACTAAATTCTCCTGCACCTGCATTGTGGGTTGATTGGAAAGCGTGCCCATTCCAAGGATTCTAGAGAGCTTGTGGGAATGGAGTCTTTCTTTCTCATGTTGCCCCTGCCCTGGTGGCCTCTTCTATGGAAGCAAGGTTCTCCTTGGTTATCAGCACGTGGGGCCACTTTGCCAGAGTTTGTAAATCCTGCTTAAGTTACATCCCTGTGTCTTGTTTACAGTTTAACCAGTCAGTAAGCAATGAACTGAATATTGGGGTTGGAACCTCCTTCTGCCTCTGTACTGATGGGCAGCTTCATGTCAGGCAAATCTTGCATCCTGAGGCTTCCAAGAAGGTAAGAGCGCTGGCTTCTCCGAGGATGATGATTGGACCTTCCTTTGGGGGCAGATGATTGGACCTTCCTTTGGGGGCGACAGGAAGCTTTTTTTCCCCCATGGTTTATCCAAGTTTCTCCATTTTAAAAAGATGCATGTCGGGAGTGATTGTTTCCTGGCAGATTTTCAGTTTCAGAAGATAACAGAGAAATAGTGATTATGTTTTCACAACAGTGTGAACGTACGTAATGCCACTGAACTCTACACTTGAATGTTAAAATGGTAAATATTGTGTTGCGTATATTTTACCACAAAAAGAGTTTTGACCCTTTAAGATCTTTGAGATCTTTAAGATCTTTGAGACTGCAGTAATGTTATAGATACTGCCTGGTGACTTAATAAAAGTTTTTGTTTATGTTAAGTTTCTGAGATGTTAGACATTTCCCCTTTTCTAAGCATATGAGCTGAATTTTTGCATTTAAATTAACTGCAAGAAGGCAGGAAAGAACATTTACTTTTAAATTTTAAGACATTGTAATATTCCCATCTGCAGAAAATGCTTTATCTTAGAAAGGAAGGAGCAAAGAAAAATACTTAAAGCATTTTTCAATTGTTGCTAATTTCATTAAAGAGCTTTGTACTGTGTAAAGACCTAGCCATATAACTAGTGAAACATTAATTATAACGTACTGCACTTTGACTTAAAGTAAATATTCAAAACTGATTAAATATTGTATCAAAACAGTAGGATCAGCCTTCATCTTCTACCTTTGCTGGTCTTTCTGACATGGAAAAAGTATGGAGTGAGAGAACTACACCCTTACTGTAGAAATGTGATTCCTTTCTCTGGGAAGAATACTGAGGGGCTGTGAGAAAATAGAGACAATAGAGGGCAGCCCCAATGTAGCCAATCATTGCTAATATAGCTGATCTTATCAGCTTAATTAGTTGGAGCTGTAACTTTTTGTCTTCGGCAAATACTGAACTTGAAAAGACGAGGTAACATATTTTAAGGAAACTGGATGAAGCAAGTCTTCAAAGAAAGATTAGACTGACAATTGATGTCACAAGTATAGTAGTGACTAGTCAGTGCAGATGTTTCTTTTTACTTCACTCGGGAAATGGAAATAAATGAGTTAAATATATAACAACAATTTCAAAAGTTCAAAGGAGAAACTCAAATTCCTACATCTTAAGGGTTGAGAAAATCATTTCTTTTATAGCAACTTTTGTAGTTATTTGATTAAAAGGAGGGCAGGGAGTGTTTTTGTTAATTCAGTGTTAAACAAATTGCTATCCCCTTGATCCAGAAATAGATAAATGAGGATATTTTTTCCCCCTTCAAACTCTTATGGAGAAGGATAAAACTTATTAATCTTTTCCCAATTTGGCTGGAGGAAAACAGCTGTTTTTGTTATTTTAGATAGACTGCTTTAAATATGGGAAAACCTCCAGAGAACAATTGAAACATTTTTCCTGAGTCACTTCTCTTAGGATTTTCATAAAGAAACCTAAACCAATTTAGTGTCCTAAAACTAGAAACTAATTTAGTATCATAAAGGAATTCTATTCATTAGGGAAAAAAACCCCAGAAAACCGTAAAACAAAATAATCCTGCCATTCAGAAAACAATATATTAAAGTGTTTTTTTCTAATAAGAACATATTTGAAAATATTCTTCCAGGTTTTTATAGAAAGGCCTCATTTTTACAAGAAGCATTCATGCTACAAACACTTTTTACTTATTTTATAATTTACTATAACATCAATATCTTTTGTAGGAATTAAATGTTAAGTATTTTAAGTGAATACAGCTATTTAAATCTTTTATTGTAAAACATGTAAGTTATTATCAACAGCTTTTAAATGAGCATTTTTGTAGGTAAACTTGAAGATTTCACCATTTTTTAGTACCTGTTTTGAAAAACTGTGACCATGGTAAAATGATACCTTTTTTTTTTTTTAAGATTTTTTTTTTTTTTTTTTAAATAACCTCTGCACCCAACCTGGGGCTTGAACTAGCAAACTTGAGATCGAGTTGCATGCTCTACCAAGTGAGCCAGCCAGATGCCCCTGCCAGACATCTATTTTAATTGCAGCAAGAACAGGTATACATCTGATAGACTCCAGTGAGGAAATCAAGAAAGAGACATTATTGCATAAATGTTATGGTTGCAAACATTAAAAAGTCATTATTTCCTTGACTTTCTAATGTACAGATGTGTAGAAATTCCCAGTAATTCAACAGAAACTATTTTGAAATTGTAAGAAAAATCTAAAATCAGTTTTAAAAAAATTCATCTTTGACAGTTATTCAATGGGGTTTTTTTTTTTCTATTAGGGGAAACACAAAACACCTTAGTACAACATTTGCCCAGACAGTTGAACTTACTTAATAAGCACAAGAGTGCTACTAGTAGCTAAGAACAGCGGGTAACTATATTTCTTCTTCACCCTTGAGATTTGTGATATCTTTTTCTTTTTGTTTTCTGTTTTTTAGTCTAATTTGAGTTCTCAGATATAAGTAGAATATTGGTCAAGAAAACTAATGTAGGACTATAATTTAGCACAATATCATGCTTTTAGGTAATCAGGAATTTACTATGTTGCTCTGATTTTAGTATAAAAATATGAGCATTATATGAGCCTAGTATTTAAAAAAAACTGAATTGTAACTGAATCCTATATCTGGGTAGACCCAGTAAACATAAGCATCATTATGAGAACTGAGAGGGCTAATACTGCTGCCTGAAAATACAGATGGTCTGAAATGATTATGGTTGGAAAGAGTGTAATTTTATCAATTAGAAAATGTATGACAGCCCAAAGATAGCATCAAAAGTGTTTTGAATGGAATGTGTAATGGAACACAAATGTAATCTTTTGCCTTAAAATAATTTTTTCTATGCCACTTGTATATATAGGATATAATACTGTACTAGAAAATAAAGTCACTCTTACATTTGATTTTAAAAATTAGTTGTAAAATATACTTCTTTGCAATTCTTAGGTTCCTAATTGTTAGAGAAACATTGAACTAAATTCATTGAGTTAACAGTGTCTACCTTGTCCTTCCTCAGAAAGTATTATTGCCCGAATGCTTCTATTCCTTTTTTGATCTTCGAAAAGAATTCAAGAAGTGTTGCCCTGGCTCACCTGATATTGATAAACTGGATGTTGCAGCAATGGCAGAGTGTATCCTTTGTGTGATTACCCAAGAATCATTTGAAAAGGTAGCTCTAGATAAAATGGCAATTCAGGAAACTTAAAAATACTTTTAACTTCGTTAGTGTATGAGTGAAATTGGCCTGTCCAAAATTTATTGTGCTAGGAAGAACTAACAGTACAGTTATAGGCATCTTTCAAAATAATTCTTATTTTTATTTATTTTTTTTATTTTAGAGAGAGTACCCACATGAGCAGGGAAGAGGGCCAGAGGGAGAGAAAGAATGAGAATCTTAGGCGGGCTCCCTGCTCAATGCAGAGCCTGATGGCTTGATCCCATGACCCTGGGATCATGACCTGAGCTGAAATCAAGAGTCTGATGCTCAACCTGCTGAGCCACCCAGGCACCTGTCAAAGTTATGATTTAATGAATTTAAATATGGATTTAGTGTGATGGATTTAGAGCTGGATTTTTGTGAGTTGAACATATCTAAAATAGATTTCTTTTTTTTTTTTCTAATATTTTATTTATTTTTGAGAGATAGAGACAACATGAGCAGGGGAGGGTCAGAGAGAGAGGGAGACACAGAATCTGAAGCAGGCTCCAGGCTCTGAGCTAGCTGTCACACAAAGCCTGACGCGGGGCTCGAACCCACGAACCGTGAGATCATGACCTGAGCTGAAGTTGGACACTTAGCCGACTGAGCCACCCAGGCGCCCCCTAAAATAGATTTCAATTTCACATTATGGGAATGTTTTTGGTATTTTGGTTGGTGAAGAATGTGAAGACTACCTTCTTTGATAACTAATTCGAAGGCCACTTATTCTTGATTATCTTGGTTTTAGGGCTAATTTTGACATTTTTCAAATGGATATGAAATTTTTTAAATAGTGGAATATATGCTCTTTACAAATGTTTCATTGGTACTTCTTTTAACCCTCCTTGGGTTTCTCAAATACATATGAGATTGTGGTGATTATAATGAGTCTTTTGAGATGATAAAATGAGACTTTACCCCCAAATCCTTTCATTACCAAGATAGTATATTTGATACAGTATGTATTCTAAAAGTAAATTTTATAATCATAAATCTTGTAGTCATGAATGACTGACTGGTTATCTTTCATCCAGTAAGTTTTAAAAGTGCTAACTAATGAGCAGTCATGTGCTAACATCAGATGTGAAATTGAGTAATAGAAGGGTTGGGCAACTCCCCCAAAGCCACACATGAGAACCAACTTAAAGTCACATTTAAGTTACTTTCAGGAACTTGTGGGTCATAGATGTTTGTTCTTAAACTTTCTCATTCTTTTTCAAGACCTAAAGTCTGAGTCTCATTTTATTTCGGAATTTCTTTTCCTGATTGGAAGATGTTTGCATGTTTTTCTTAACCCCTGTAAGCAGGTCAAACCCATTTAGATCTGCCTTCTTTCTGGAAGCAGTTAGCTGGAAATTTGCTTTAGCATCACTAGTAATGCTGGGAGATGGATGTAGTAAGCTTATTTTGAGGGACTTCTAAGAATTAAAAGGTTGGGACAGCAGAAAAATTCTTACTAATTGTTTTTTTGGTTTGAGTGCTGTATTAGCCTGCTAAGGCTACCATAACAAATACTGTATAGACTGTGTGGCTTAAACAACAGAAATTTTATTTGCTCACAATTCTGGAGCTTGAGAAGTCTAAGGTAGACAAAATAGAGAACCAAAAAGAATCAACAGATGGAAGAAAAGTCTAATAAAGTTATCTGAATTTAGAAAAAGATGATTTGAATAGAAAAGACAATATATTAAGACTTGTTTATCTTTGACAATTCAGTATCCTCTTTTAGCACAGAAAATCTTCCCCTAGTGATTATAGGTCACATGGTAGTAAGAATTTCCATGGCTATAAGCAAGAGATGCTTATATTTGGGTTTTTTGGTTTTTCTCAATGTGTTGACAGCTCAGGGAAAACTTATTAAAAGTTCATCCATTTTTTTTTCTCCTTGGCTGCTCCTTGTGAACTTCACATATATAAAATTTGGGGTTATTAGTAAGCATTTTCGTTTTGGTAATCTGGACTTTTTACTTGCTCTCTGCTTTGCACCCGTATATAGTAATTTTTTAAAATAAAAGATTATCTGACAATTTTTTTTATGTTTTATATTTGAGAGAAAGAGACAGAGCCTGAGCAGGGGAGGGGCAGAGAGAGGAAGGCACAGAATCTGAACCAGGCTCCAGGCTCTGAGCTGTCAGCACAGAGCCTGATGCAAGGGCTTGAACCCACCAACCACAAAATCATGACCTGAGCCAAAGTTGGATGTTCAACCGATTGACTCATGCAGGCACCCCTGAATTATCTGACATCTAAATGAATAGATAGGTTGCTATGACAGTTATTTTTTTGTCATTCATATTAATTCTGCCTCTAAAACTCTTTGTTGGTGATTCTTTTTCAAGTGTCATGAAAATCAAATATTTGACTACAGTAAACAAATATATTGTGAATAAAGCTAACTTGGGCTCCATTTCAAGCACCTCAAACTTGAAATATGGAGAAGGATCTCGTGGCCATTTAGTAATGCATTCATTGGAAAAAATAAGGTATTTTCTATTTATTTTTTATTTTTTTTAATGTTTTATTTATTTCTAGGAGAGAGAGAGAGACAGAGTGAGCAGGGGAGGGTCAGAGAGAGAGGGAGTCATAGACTGAAACAGGCTCCAGGCTCTGAGCTGGCAGTCAGCACAGAGCCCAACGCGGGCCTCGAACCCACAAACCGCGAGATCATGACATAAGTGGAAGTTGGACGCTTAACCGACTAAGTCACCCAGGCGCCCCGGTATTTTCTATTTTTTAAAAATTTATTTTGAGAGACAGTGTGTGCTCAAGTGTATGAGGAGGGGAGAAGCAGAGAGAGAGAGAGAATCCCAGGCAGGCTTCACACAGTCAGCACAGAGCCAGATGAGGGGCTCCATCTCACGAACTGCAAGATCATGACCTGAGCCAAAATCAAGAGTCAGATGCTTAATCCACTAAGCCATCCAGGTGCCTCTGTTTTCTTTTCTTTTCTTTTCTTTTCTTTTCTTTTTTTTTAATGTTTGTTTATTTTGAGAGAGAGCATGAGAAGGGCAAGGGGAGAGAAAATCCCAAGTAGGCTCCGCACTGTCAGCACAGAGCCTGATGGCTGGGCTGGAACTCATAAGATGTGAGATCATGACCTGAGCCAAAACCAAGAATCAGAAAGCTCAACCCCGTGAGCCATCCAGGTGCCCCCCCCTCCCATTTTCTATTTATTTTTAATGTTTTATTTATTTCTGAGAGAGAGAGGCAGGCAGCGTGAGCAGGGGACGGTGAGAGGGAGGGAGGGAGATACAGAATCCGAAGCAGGCTCCAGGCTCTGAACTAGCTGTCAAAGCAGAGGGCCTGACATGGGGCTTGAACCCACAAACAGTGAGATCATGGCCTGAGCCACAGTCGGACACTTAACCGACTGAGCCACCCAGATGCCCCTCTTATTTTCTATTTCTTAAATAGGTAAATTGTATCCTATTTCCTTTGGGCTTACATTGGAAGAGTCTTAGATTTATAGTTTTATTACCAATCAGAAAATAGATTTTAATCTTAAATGTTCTTATTAATGTTTTTTCTGCATATTTTTTTCCCACTTAATGGATAAGAAATCTTAAGCTTTCCTAACAGTGGTTTTCATTTTACATTGCAGATATGATGAGTTATTTTATGACTCCTATTTGGAGGAATCATTATTTCCTTGACTAGGCACCAAAGTCCCCAGCTCAAAAACAGTAATACTGGGGCTCCTGGGGGGCTCAGTCAGTTAAGCATTGACTCTTGATTTTGGCTCAGGTCACGGATATCCTGGTTTGTGAGTCTGAGCCCCATATCTGTGCTGAAAGCACAGAGCCTGCTTGGGTTTCTCTCTCTTTCTCTTTTTGCCCCGCCCTGCTTATGTGCTCTCTCTCAAATAAACACACAAAAAAAGTCATACCATGTATGACTCTCTACTGGTCCTTATCAATGCACAGGACTTCTACAATGTCTGCACCGAAGAGTTCTTTCAGATCACTGAATATTTCCCTTTCTAATATGGAAATGACACTGAATTTGGAAACCTAAAGATGGTCATTACACACTCTTGATGGTTTTGCCAAGTAGATGGAGAGTCATTTGCTCCTGAGGGAATACCTGTTAGACCAGGTAAACCAGCAGGGGAGGGAGAGGCTCTTGCCAACCCTTGGAAAGGAACAAGTAAGAGAATATGTAGCTTTACTTTCCTGGGAAAGGTACTTAACCTTCTCCCCAAGCTTTACTTTTATCTCAGATATTCCCAAATGAAAGCTTTGTAAACCACCAGGAGCTATGTAAATGAAAAGTATGACCACTTTGATGAAAGAAAGGGTTTAGGAATTTCTTGAATGCAATTCTGGTCCTTATTTTAGCACTTACTTCCCTCTTTTGTCTTTGTGTTGGTTCTGAGACCATCTCTTGTGTTAGTGTTGGGCCTCTCTGAGTTCTTCACGTTGCAGTTTTGCTACCTGCTTTTTATATTATACAGTCTCAGCAGAAGAGAAGACCTCATTTAGTGGGTGAATTGGGGGTAAGCAATTTGTAAGCTTTTTATTTAATCAGGTGAGATGGTGAGGGTGTGATAATAGGGATTGAGGCCTCTAGTATTTTTATTTCTTTTTTGGAAGAAATTATCTTGATTTTTTTTTTTTCCAGGTAAATTAATAGTAGTTTTCTCCTGTGAAAAAGACATTTCAATTATGGGACTATTTGTAATAAATGACTTCTTTTATCCATTAAAAAAAAAAAAAAGAAGAACCCTATTCCCCAACCCCCACCCCCACCCCCCCTGTGGTGGATAGAATCACTTCCTCTTCATTTCTTAACCTATTTTTTCTTTGTTGTTCCTGAACTAATTTATTTTCACTAATCAGGACCTCTTCCATTTTGTTTGCTGTACTTGGCCTTTCATAAGAACTTTTTAATAAAGCCTGGCCTTGTGAGGAGAGCAGGTAAAGAAAACCTGTA